CTCTGATCGCAGCTGGGGCTTCTAAGGATTACTACAGTACAAATAAAACACAGTATAAACATTTACAATATTCTTATCACCCCAGTGTTTATGTGCCCATCAACATTACTCCTCAGAGCTCAACAAAATTTTTTAAAAGTAATTAAAATTGTTACCAGAAATCCTCTGACTTCAACAGAAGTGCACCTGGTTATATCAAGAACAAATCTGGCCCATTATGGTCAGAGTGATATGCTTCTCAACTGCAAAAAAAGAAAGCTCCTGAGAGTGCTGTTAAAAAATTGAGGATCGTGTAAAATGTCCGTGGAAAGGAATGTGAGTGGTTTACTTTTCTCACATGAAGCAGTAAAAATCAGGTAAACAATGAGTATCAAGTAAGAAGGAACTTTGTAAGAAGAGTGTGCCCTCAAGATAAGACTACGAATCAGGGACCATGTTGCTCTCCAAAGTGCAGTCTAATAGAAACCTCAGGTGAAATCTTGGCCTCACTGAAGTCAATGGCAAACTACATTGACCTTACTGGTTCATTCCTGATTCAAGATTTCATTCCTGATCTTTAGTGTAACAGAAATAAAAGATACAAAATTAAAATAAAAATTAAAAACCCAGAACTAACATTCTCACTTCTGCTTGGAAAAGGGGAGATATGGTTGCTAAACTATTTCTCCTGAGAAGAGCTTATTTCTTTGGGGAAGATACAAACCAGGAGGATGGGGGTAGCATTTTTTAAAAATTATTTTGGATCTGCGGAAGATTTTTAGGCAACAAGTCTCAATGTAGTTCAGGAAATCAGATGCGACACCAGATAGGAAATGACTAATAGGGGAAAATTAGCCATTATTGGGCTGAATAGTATTTTCCATCAAACATGTGGGGTGCTTAACATTTCACCTAGTGTTCAGTTACTTTCTTTAAACAAATGGATTCAGGAGTGTTGTAAGAATACTCAGATGCAATGCAATATGATCCTTTCATATCGGTCACTAAGATGGACTCTAGAGAATTGTGGCTGTTACATCACTATGTTGGGTAACATTTTCCCAAACAGCCTTGGACTTTCAGAGGAACAGAAAGAAAAATAAGTTTCTGATCTTAGAGATCATATTTCACACAATGGGCAGTAACCACTTGCCAATTTATTCAGGGCAAAATTTTTAATCTAGGTGCCTAAAGTTATGCCTCTAAGTCCATGTTTAAGAACCTAAATAAAAGCAGTTCCATTTTCAAAGAATGCTGAGCAGTGAGTTACGACTTTGATGGAACGTGGGAGTGCTCAGCACTTCTGAAAATCAGGCCACTAATTTAGGTGTCTACCTATAGGCACCCACATTTGACCAATGTAGCTTTAGTTTTTAAGACTGAACTGAATCTTTTAGCAAAGGGAACAAAACAAGATACAAACACCAGAAACTGATGCCTTATAGGCCATATCTGTGCATGTCTTTCACAGAGGTTATGATAGGATTTTGTTGTAACTTGCTCAGGAATGGTATATACTAAAAATGCCTTCTGAGTCATCTGAATACGGTCTATAGAATCTGTAGCCAATCACCATGCAAGAGGTTTCTGGACCTTCACCACATGGAGAGAAAAAACACAAAAGAGGGAGCGCATCAGTACAAATGAGCAAGCTATAAAGGTAAAAATGTATCATGCCAATTAGAATAGCCACTAATAAGCCCACACACATACAGGCCGCAGCAACCGTGAGAAGATGAAACATAATCAGCTGCTTTATGGAGAAATACTTTCACAAGGACAAACAGATCTTTGACAATGTTTCCACTGTGCGAGCACAAACCGGTTATCTTTGGGTATCAGATGTGGAGGTCATCGCTTTGTATGTTAAACTTATATTGTGTCCAGTCATGATCATTTTTAATGCATTTAAAAATAAAAAGTCTTTTACCATTTCCCCCCCCCCCAATCTTCAAAGCATTTTTCAAACATTAACAAATCAATCTTTAGAACATCTTTATGTTGTTTTGCATTGTTCCCATTTTACTGACGGGAAAGCTGAATTACTGAGATTAAGACCAAAATTTTCCATGAGGTCCATTTTCCTTACAACCCAGGGCATGAGGTTGCCACCTGTTCGGTTTCCACCCAGACAGTCTGGGTTTCAGCTTATGTGTTCAGGTGCCATTTGACAAGCTCTGATGTGCGTTGTTTTCGATCCGTGGAAAAGGTTGCAATCCTAAGTGGAATGAAGGAGGCAGTGCAGCAACAGCAGCTGCCGCCTCCAGAGCCAGACTGCTTGTGCGGCTCGTGGCTCTGAGCAGCCCGCAAGTGGAGGGCAAAGCGGCCTCAGCTATGCTGGTGCAGACCCTGCAAGTGATGGAGGGGAGGGGGTTTGGGAACAGGCAGAGCAGCGGGGCTTCGGGGGAACAGGCAGGGCAAGGAGTGGGGCGTCAGGGGTCCGGTTACCAGCCATTAGAACGGTGGCACCCTAGGCGTGATTCTTCCTTGTAGAGTCAAATTTACACTTGTGAAAAGTGAATGCAAATAGGGTGTCAAATGCTACCACCAGTGAAAGAATTCTGACTTGGTGGTATTTTACTCCCACTTTGCACAGGTGCAAATGACTGCACAAGGTGTAAGGCAGGGGAGAATCAGGTCTACAAGGTTCCATTTGTGCTCCTCAACTCCAGAGGCTGAAGTGACAGAACATGGTATTATTTGAGAAATATTACGAAGGCATGTAATTAAGGACTGCAGCGTAATACATAAGTGCAAGGGGTCAGAATTAGTGTTGCCCATGTAATCTCAACATTGGTATTTTCTCACATCTGAGTCCTTAACTGTGAAGCTTCCACAATCTGGTTTTTGGAATGTCCCAGATTCTTTTACAAACAAAAAAGATGGAACAACAAGAATTATTGTAATAAAAGACTTCAAAACTCCATTGAATTGCCTGCGTGTGGAGTTAGTTGGCTAAACATGATGCAACAGCCTGTCCCATGAAAGCTGGGAGATCTGTAGGAGGGAGCCTCTTTCCTGCACACCTCGTAAGTCTGCAAATGAGAGCTCCCCTCCTCCAAACCCGAGATGCATCACTCCTGCGGGACATCACGTGTGGAGCTCCCTCCTGCAAAACCCATGAGGAGTCAGATCAACCCCTCCCATAAAAACCTGAGAGAGAAATTAAGGGAGATGAAATCTTCTCCCCGATTTCCCTACATTATTTCATCTGGAGATGGGGGGGAACAGAGAAGAAGGTAGGGTTGGTCCCCCTTGGAACAGGTCATGAAACCTGCCTTTAAACTCCACAGATCCACTGTAACTTCACTTTAACTGTCCCCGGGCAGCCTACCCTCTCACTCCCAGGCATTTCAGATCTATTTCCCCTGGGACTACTTCTCCTGTATAGAAGATCCCCTTAACAGAGGGGGCTCCACAAAAAGATATACATCCCAAGAGTGTATTCCCTGGCAAGCTCTTCAGGAGCAGAGAAGTGTGAGGGGGTGTACCTTCCACCCCAGCCCCAAAATAGCCGCTGATGTTGCCAGTGCAGCAGAGTCCCCCATTCATATGGGAAGAGAGAGATCTGGACATGGATCAGGAAGGGAAGATGCCCTTCCCTCAAAAAGCACAGCAGCCTTCCTCACCCACTTTGCACCTTACCAGATAGGCCGTGAGTGGGCCAAGGGTTCCGGTGAAACCCTCATCTGCACCCATATGCGCTTTTCACAACATAACTAAGTTAAAGCTGCACCAGGGCAAGGTGCAGCCTTCCCTAACAAACAGAGAGAGCAAGAGAAGGTTTACCACCCCTGGGCATTGAATAAAGTGTTATATAGCTGGGGCAGGATGTAAAAACAAATAATTTTTATCACAGAGTTTTTATGAGAAGATAAAAGTTTATTCTGTCAACCAAGAGAGATCCTAACAAAACCACTAATTCCTGACATTTCATAGTCGATCGCTAACATACATACCATGACAAAATTAAAGTACACCAAATGCAGGATTACATTTCACAACCCCAACTTATTTTTTTCCCTGTGTACAAGCTTGTTAGTTCAATTACATCAGTAATGAGTCTTGGAGTCTGGAAGCTTTTAATTTTAAGGAGTTCAATCTTACCACTTCATGTTATGCATGTTATGTTCAGTTAGAATAAAAAAAGAAGTACTTTTGAAGCTGTAACACCAAGTGATAAGAACAAGGACATTCAAAGTTAAATCTGAAATTTGCTCTAGTCTACCAGTATATAGCAAAGGGCAGAGAGATTAATGTGGTTTATTATATGCCACACATGCTACAACAGCTAGACCGTATAGGCAAGTACAGGACATAGCTAAAGCAAATTAAACGGTTGGAACTTCAGCCTCAGCCTTCTCTACCGCAAAAACGGGTCACCCATGTTTATGACAGTTAAGTCACTAATACGTTTCTTTGGAACCACTTATAATGTAGCATGGAAATACTGCATATTACACAGAGAGGCCATTTAATCATCATTTTCTTTACACAACTCTTTCTACAGAAAAATGTCTGAAGTCTGTGTTACTTTGACTGGGTGAAAACTTGTTTTGGTGAAAACTAAGTATAAAATAGTGACACATAGCTGCTTTTCAGAAGGATTTTCATGATTACATATCCAGAGTACTCACTTTTCAACATTAAGGGCTCAATTCTGCCTCCTTTATTCATAGTGAGTATTGCTTACTCAGTGAGTTCACAAATCAATGGAATTATTAGTTGAGTAAGACTACTCAATGTGAGTGAAGGGTGACAGAACTGGAACCTAATCCTCTCCGTTGGTTTAATTTTTCTTTTTTTTTATGTATCAAATCAATTAGACATTTTTGCTACCATGCCAAACAGTTGTATAATAAAAATGGCCAAAATTTCTTTTTTAATGTTTTCATATAAGTTTGCTTCTGGATTGAAATTCTGCCTGCCAAGTTTCAGACTGGAATAAAAAATTCCTGCCTTATTATAAAGCTTTCAAAGAGCATTCAAATGGCTGTGCTACAGTAATTTAGTATTTTGTACCTTGGCCAATTGACTGCAGGATCCCCAAATCAAGGATGAGGGTTCAGAATTCACAACACTTCAAGCTGTACTGTGTTAAAATGGATCTCAAGGCTACTATATTAAAAATAATAAATAAGTGGATCATTTGTAGAGATTTTTGTGTTGCTGAACAGTCTTCCCAGCTCACTAAGTGCAAACAAATGCTATTGCATTTCCTGCAAGCATGGTCCAGGCAGACCAACATTAAATTAGTGAAATATATATTTTAAAAGAAGTAAAATTTCACTATCCCTACAGTACAAATCAATAATTTAGGACTTCCCTGTGGAGATGCTATAGGTTCTGAAAACTCTGGTAGACAGATTAAAAAGAAGAGGGGGAGTGTGTTTGGCAGGAGGGGAAAGGAGAACAAGTGAGGACCCCTGATTCATTCATTGAGCTATGTAGCCTGATTGGGCACCCACAGCTGCAGCGCTGGACTGCTAGTACAGAAGATGATACAGCTCACAGTTTCAGGGGGATAACAGGCCAGTACTTGGGCTGCTTTTTATCACAGTTCCTATCAAAGGCAAGTTGCATGGCAGTCTCCATGGCTTGGATTTTGGCCGCACCCACACCATAGAGTTTCTTCATTTCAGCCATACGTCTCTCCCCGGGTCTTTCTGCAGGGGGTTGTACCGAACGTCGTGTTGTTAGGTGCAGGTCATGATCAGCTTCGACATACATGGCCTGGTGCTCGGCTTCAAGCTGCTGCTGCTTCCCTAGGCAAAAAAGAACCTCAGGAGACTTAATATTTGATTAGGATACCACCCAGTCATGCTTTAGCTCTGCTGAAATCTCATCAGTTTGTTATTTTGTAAGCGAATACAGAGTCAAATGCACGCGGGGCCCACGGTTAGACCTGAAGCACACAGTCACTCAAAGTGTGGCTTATTGTTATATTCACAAAGCAAATTTCACATTACAATACATGCTGCGTGATGTAAGAACACCACCGAATCGCATAACTAAAAATTAAAAAGAGAACAAAGTAGTCTGACTTGAATCTTGAAGTTGTTGAGACTCTTGCATTTATAAAAAACAAAACTGAATCAGCTTTGTCTCATCTCTCCCTTACACACTCACCGTCCCGTCAAGGTGGAAGACCCAACTCTGGAAGTAATTACTTTGCAGCTGTGATGAGATGATACACAAAATAGCCTAACTTTAGTTGAACCATAGCCAATTGTATCCAGTTACATTTTCTACATGAAAAGAAGGAACAAGCCAATATGTCATGCAAGTGCCAGCCATCAAACGTATTGCAGGAAATACAGCTGTCAGTGCCATGTTTACACTCTTGCACCACGTTCATTCCTTACTTGAGTTTTACAAAGCACACATTATTTTCTGTTTTAAAAACCCAGCAGCATATCAAAGTATTAAAGTGAAGTTACAGTAATTCAGACAGGTAAAACCGTTCTATTTGTCCTTGGAAATAAATTAAAACTCATCTGGAAGTAATATCTGGATGATTCCCCGTCCCCAGCTCAGCTCCATGCAGTCAACTATAGGCTAATTGAAAAACCATCACTCCGGCAAGAAGATTAATTAAGTTGTTAAAACAACAGGTCCAACATTGTGGGACAACTCCTAGAAGATATACTCTGCTAGGTGCTGAATATTTCCAACAACCATTGCAAACAACAACAGACAGGGGCGCTGGAACAATTTTTATAGTGGGAGTACCGAGAGCCATTGAACCAAACTGTAAACCCTGTATATAATGGAAACCACTTCAAGCCAGAGGGTGCTGCAGCATCCCCAGCACCACTAGTTCCAACACCTATGATGAGAGATGAGTACTCAACATCTTCCACAACAGGGGTCCTAGTTAATAACTTATTTTGGTTTACTTATTATGGGAAGAAAAGACAAGAAATGTGTTTTTGTTCTGGTACACCTCTACCCCGATATAACGCGGTCGTGGGGAGCCAAAAATCCCTACCGCATTATAGGTGAAACGCCGTTATATCGGGGTAGGGGCGGCAGGGCTGCTGCGGGGAGCCCCAGGCCCTTTAAAGCGCCGGCGAGCCCCGCTGCCACAGCCCTGGGGTAGCAGCAGCAGGGCTCCGGTGGTGATTTAAAGGGCCCGGGGCTCCCTGCAGCAGCCGGAGCCCTGGACCCTTTAAAGCGCTGCTGGAGCTCCGCTGCTACCGCGCTATATGCGAACCCGTGTTATATCTGGTCGCGTTATAGCGGGGTAGAGGTGTATTTAAAACAACAAAAGTGCTTACAGGTCAAAATGTATTAAACACACACAAGACTCAGTCTGTGGAGTTATGGAGAATGCATTTTTATCAACACTAACCCTGAGATTTATTTCTAGTGAAACACAGAACATCTGCAAACCCGAAACCAAAGTTAAGTATCTTGATATATCTGTCTTGGAACATCTGCAGTTTATTTTTATGCTGGAAAGTAGTGTGTAGAGCAGCCAACTGACAGTCTGTCAGCCTCACTAAACACATCATTCCTCATACACAGAAAATAGATATTTTAAACAGTATAATATGAAACTTCAACTCTGGCATCTGTTTCTTTGCTGGAGAGACAGAAAGCTTTGCCTTGCCATTTTAAAGGTTACTGTATTTGTCCATATTTCTGTGGCAGAAGTAGAGGGGGAGTTTGCGGGACTATGAGCACACTCGTTCTATCTAGATGCTCCCCTTACTATTATTTTGTTTTAAAAGGCACGTCTCCAAAGGGAAGAACATTCTTCTGTCAATACCCCTGAGGAAACACATAGATGAGGGTCCATATGGAAACGTATAAGGCAGGGGTCAGCAACCTTCGGCACGCAGCCCATCAGGATAATTCGCTGGCGGGCCGCGAGACATTTTGTTTATGTTGTGTCAAGTATCAGGAGGTAGCCGTGTTAGTCTGTATCCACAAAAACAACAAGGAGTCCGGTGGCAGATTTGGGCAAAAGCTTTCGTGGGTAAAAAACCTCACTTCTTCAGAAAGCTTCTGCCCAAATAAATCTGTTAGTCTTTAAGGTGCCACCGGACTCCTGGTTGTTTTTGTTTACATTGACTGTCCACAGGCTGCAGCCCACGCCGCTTCCCGCAACTTCCATTGGCCGGGAATGGCGAACAGCGGCCACTGGGAGCTGCGGGGGGTCATGCCTCCGGACGGTCAACATAAACAAAATGTCTTGCAGCCACCAGCAGATTACCCTGATGGGCTGCGTGCCGAAGGTTGCCGACCCCTGCTATAAGGAATAATCTTTGATCCTAATCCCAAAATAAATCAAGGTACTGCTACAGTATATGTTTTATTTTGTATTTATAAATGTATTTCCCTTGATTTTTGAACCTAGGTTTACCAACCTATTTATCATCCCATAGCTCTGGTGAAGAGATTCCCAAAATCACTACATCATATAGTCTCAGGTATTTAAAGCCCAGAGCTAATGCTGTTTAATACTTTGCAGAAGGAAGTCAGACTCAGAGGACATGCAAAGGGACACACAGCTTTTCACTTCTACGACACTTGTTCAACTTCAGCCCAAGACACTAGTGCTAAAAGGTATCACTAGCAGAGGTGTTTTGGGGCCTATGTGAAGTGTGTTTGTGGTCTGAAACCAGTTATTTGTGGTCACAAAAGCTACCATCATAATGGGCACTAATTACTACAGTTGTTGGAAATCTTGGGAAAAAGGCCAAGGAAGGAATGGATATATAAACTGAAGCATCTATAGCAGTAGTCTCTCCAGCAGAGTGGGGAAGTTTGACTTGCATTGCTGAGACTGCACTTGCTCTGTGGAAAAATGGCAGACCTTGGTCTCAATGAGTATCAATCTGGCTCTTTTCACAGGCACAAAAATAAAAAGAACCTGTGCAAGAAATGTGCAATTATCCTTGGATCAAAAGATTTGAAAATAAATAACTAGCAATGTACTGAATTTAAGAAAATGTTATAAACTTCATACTGTTATAATGTATATAGGGCAAAGCAAAGAATCCAGCGCTCATCTGAAGCAAACACCAAAGTTAATCTATACATAAACTAGCAGGACTCACTAGGAAAGTTATCCTCAACCTAGAGTACTAGAATCCCCTCGCACTCCCAAATCAGAGCCTCATGGCAAAGGAACTGGAGCAAGGAATACCTTTGAAAAAACTATTTACATAATTCTGAGTGGACCCTCTTTCCACTCCCCATAGACTAAAATAAATATATCAAAGCTTCCTTTTAAAGCATTCAATTACTGGAAAGATTTTACTTTCTAATACAATTGTGGAACAATATTTTGCAAATGTTATAAGCCAGGCAACCACCTGTGGTGTCATCTGGTTACGCTACAAAGAATAAACACTGCTGACATTTTTATAATTGCAGTTTCCTGGAATTCCCCCTCCCCCACCCCTAAAGTTACTTTTGTCTTAAAACCCATCTCTAGAATCAATATATCACTACTGAATACATTTCTGCTGTGAGATGATCCTCATTTGGAAAAAAAACAAACAAACCTGTCAGACCATTTTCCAGACATAGTGAAGAGGAGATTCCTTTCCAACTTCCAGGGTCCCAAATACACTTATTTAACTCACTTTCATCTGTACTGGGACACTACCAAGGTTTTCAGGCCTTCATTAATGTTCCACTAAAGCTTGATTTTGATTAGGAACACAGAGTGCAAAAATAATAATAAAAAACCCCCTATAATGATAAGTCACCCTGGTAATCAGGCGCCAAAGGAATCCCTTTTTGCCTACACTGCCCGCTATAAATAATCATCTTTAATTTGGTAATGCATTAGATGAGACAAAATCTGCACAAATAAAGACAACTGCAATTCTACTGACTGTCACTGACAGGATCAGAATAAGCTGCTGTTAGTTCAATAAGGATTAAGCCCTCCCCCTCCGCCTCCCCCCGGCCTGCAATTGTGGCTCCATGTGGACACAACAACCCTCCATGTGCTGGCCCTCCTCAAGACTTAAGCAATTTTCCCCAGAGGCCCTTAGTAGCCCAGATGACTCTATTTATCCTCATTTTAAAAGAACAAATACTTTCTGTAATTTTGATCCATTTTGCCCCTCATTATTTGTAATATCTTCTAAGAAGCCTGAAGAGTAATCACAGAAGTTTACACTTGTTCCTCTTTTTAAAAAATATACATTTTTATTTGGAGAAAGATCTGTAAGGAGAGACTTGTATCTACTGAGCCTATGCAAAATGACAACTCTTCTTATAAAGACTTCTCCATAACTCTTTGGGTGGAAACATTTTGCACTCTGCCATGTTTCTGGGTTGTGGCCCATTCAAATGATATTCTGGCAACAGACCATGGTCCTGCTCTTCAGAAGTGGCAAATGGCTCTTCCTTTACTGTCTTCCAGATAACAGACTATTCTTTACAAAAACATTTCACTTTCCTCAGTGTTTTTCTTTTGTGATGTCTGACCAGTATTCTTGTTCAGTGTATATGTCTGTTTATTACAAAGATAAATAATAGTCTCATTTCTGAGCTTCCCGATCCACTTCTAAATATAACCTGGACATGAGCAGCATGTCACAAATCTATCTGAAGAATTTAGGCATTCACCTTTTCCACTGAGGTTTTTAGTTCCTAGTTCTGTCTCTAAAGGCCGTGTTAGAAGCAGTCCTCTGGTGTGCTAATCTTCTACCCATATGCTGATCCTCAGTTTGAGAGGCTGATTCTTCCACAGGTTTTGCTAGGGAGCTGTAAAAAAACTACAGCAATGTTCCATGTG